AAAATAATTAATTATTATCTTTATAAGAAAATTATATTATTAAACCAAATATAAACTACTTCGTTATTGTATCTAAATTAAATTATAATTAAAAATTGAATTAAAAAAGTACACAAAAAATGAGGAATTTTAAATAGTTAATTTGATTTGAATATCGATATATTTTTGTTATGCATAAAGTACTGTATATTGATGTATATTACTTAAAATTGAAGATTACAAGTAATTATACATAAGTACAACTAATTAAAACTCGATGTTTGAATTCGTATAAATAACTGCAGATAAACATAATCAAATAGAGGATGAACATCTCAATTTAAAATATAAAAAACCTAAGATATAATTAGAATAATTATCGAGTTCAAACAAAATAAATAATAAAAAATTATATTATTAAACGAAATATAAATTACTTCGTTATTGTACATAAATTAAATTATAAAAAAATTGAATTAAAAAATTACACAAAAAATGAGGAATTTCAAATAATTAATTTGATACTAATATCGATATATTTTTGTCAAATTTTTATGATATATTCAAACATATATTTTATTCAAAAATAAAAACATCATCGATTTCTCAAAATCATATGAAGCCATATTATAACATCAGATGAGATAAAGAATAAAATGAAATATTAAAATCACGATGTATCTCGCTGCATTGCGCGAGTACGCTTCTAGTAACATATAACGTATTTGGTCATAGTGGGTCTGTATGATGTATATGCAGTATATAGTGTGCAAATTATGTATAACATGGCAACTAGGGAGTAGGGAGCAAACTATGTATGCAGATATTAATGTGAGATAGCGATTAATGGACGTGATGATTAAAGCTACCGAGACCATCATGCTTGCCAGATTTCTCGAGCCCTCTCGGGGCCTCACCCTCCTAGCCACGGTGGTTGCTTTCTCATTTGAGTATGTTCGTATATTTGTTTGTTTTCGTTTGTTTAGTATTTAAATGAATGAACATAAACAAACACGAACAATAATGTTTTTTAATAAACGAACATCAACACCAAAAATTTTGTTCGTTTACCATTTATGTTCGTTCGTTTGTTCTGTTAAATAAATCAATAATCCATAAAACTAATATGTAATCAATACTCAACCATTTTGTAGCAAATCCAGTAATACTAACAACTCCATTTCATATAATATTTTTACA